TCTGTAACTCCTGAACTCGGGCAATCCACCCTCCTTGGCCTCCCAGAGTGCTGGGATTATAGGCATGAGCCACCAGCCCAGCCAACCATTCATTGTTTGTGCCAAAGACTGAGCTAATATACTGATTGAGCTTCAGTATATTAAATGAGGTATAATTTTATATCTACCAACAGTCCCGGGACACAAATAATTCTCGCTTTACAGGTTGAGATTAATTACTTGCCAACAGTAAGTCAGTGAGAGGTTGAGATGAAATTGGAAATTATTTTTTGGGTCCACAGGACATACGTAGTTTCTTGCCTCAGGGAGCCCCAATTCTTCACGGACAGGGATCAGGTAGTAGTAAATGTTTAGAATTTGTTGAATGCCAAATATACGAATGCACCTGGCACATGAAGGAGCTTATCTCTAAATATCACAGGTACTCCACAAGGCAGGCGTTATCCCCATTTCACAGAAGAGAAAACTTACTGCTCAAGATCACACAGCTAGGGCTAGGATTTAATACTTCAGAGTACTTTACTGGTCTCCATATTCTAAGAACCTCTAGAACATAGTAGGGGCTCAATAAAGAGTGTTGAATGAACAAATTTCTGTAAATGGTGCTCCTTCCCTCACGCTGTGCAATGTCAACATTGTTCTTCTGTTAAAATATTTTTTGGTCTCAGCTCTGTTTTCATTGTATATGGAGGTCTCAAGGTAGATTAAATGCTGTCTTGGGATAGGCAGTGTTTCTAATTAAGCAAAGTAGCCAACACTGGAAAATCATAAATCATTATAAAGCAATAATAATTAAAAGGATGTAATTTTTAAAACAAGACATAAAGATTAATGGTGTCAAGCAAAGTTCAGGAATCGGCCCTTGTTTGTAGAAATTGAGCACATTGAAACTGAGATCTTCAGAAAACAATAAGAAAGAAAAGAATAATATCAAATACTCATTTCAATGTAAAGAAAAATGTTATCATCCAAGCTGATAAGTCAGACATTGTTAAAATGTGAAGAAGAAAAAAAAAGTTGTATTATGTATTAAAGGCCTGGATTCCAGATCGAATACTAATATCAGGGTAAATTTGAGCAGGTTTTTTCCCCTCTGAAATGGCACTGATTAGCAAAATGAGGATCATGATTAATTCAGTGAGTTGTTATGAGGATGATATGAGAATACCACCTAACACTGCCTAATAATACATATATGGCACTCATAATGAGTCTGCATATCACAGTGTAAAAATGAACGCATGAAGAGATAGAAGTTTTTAAAAACATAAGGTTAAAATGTAGCAAAATATCTGCATTAAGAGTTATTTATATTAGCCATTATGGAAATGCAAATTGAAACTTGGTGAGAAACCACTATAGATACCTATCCAAATGCTAAAATAACAAATTTTGACAGTACCAACTGCTGGCAAGAACGAGGAAAAACTGAATAATTCACACATTGCTGGTGAGAATATAAAACGGTGTAGCCACTCTGAAAAATAGTGTGGAAGTTTTTACAAAGTTAAACACCCACTTACTGTATGACCAAGCAGTTTCACTCTTAGAAATTTATCTTCGAGAAATGAAAACTTTTGTTTATGAAAACATCTGTACATAAATATTCAGTATCATGCCTAAATTAATATCATAGAAGCTTTATTTGTAATAAATAAAAACCGGAAAAACCCACATATTCTTCAAAAAGTAAATGGATAACCAAACTGTGAGCTCTTTATACCTGCTCTCAAACTTTGAGCTCTCTCTCTTTTTTTAAAATGCAATTGTAGGTTTATTGGAAAGGCCATGAACAGATGAACCCTGAGTTACCAGCTGAGGAAGAAATGAAAAAAGCCCCTGCCCCTCATGGCCCACCCCACTGGCCTCCTGTGAACTCTGTCCTGTGGCGGACCCCAGCAGAAGTCGGCCAAAAAGTGCTTTCCACATCCTCTCCCTGGGGCTGCCCAACCTGACCGCAGGGGACCCACTGGCGGGCTGATGTAGATGCTGGTGCCTGGAGCTGTGGTTCTAGACCCTCCAGCAGAACAGAACAAAAAAGGAGTTGTGGGGATACAGTGAGTTCTGCAAATAGCTAGAGATTCTGAAGTGACACTGGACCACCCTGGAGGTGTGTGCAGAGGCTACAGATGGCCTATTGTGGGGTCCACATGGTGAGATCCCAGAGCTGCTCTAAGGAGTCTCAGCCACAGAAAATCCTAATGGGACTTGATGCCCCTCTTGGGGCTGCACTGGCTATTTCCACTCCCAGAAAGGCAAATGGGTCTTGTAAAAATCCATGGTGTCTGATATCATTTTTTCCTTAAAAAAAAAAAAAAAAAAAGAGTCTGTTCAGTGAATCACTTTCAATTTGGAGAGCCTGAGCCGAGAAGAGTCCATCCTGGAGAAGAAGGCACTTCTCACACCCTCACTGGGGGTGATCTGGGCTGGCTGCTTCCTGGACCCCTTGGGGTTCCAGCTCCCTCTAGCCCTGTGGCTTGGACCTGCTTCCCTCTGGGAAGGATGCTATGTCCATCAAGCTAGCACTGCCCTGTGGCCTGACAGCCCTGGCCCCTCACAGGGTGGTGGACAGCAGCTTCCTCACTGGACGCTAGGCCAGGATAGATGACCCGATGGGCTTCAGCTGAGGGGTGGACTTGGAGCTGTTGAGCGTAGAGTATGTGGCTGTCATGGCTCCCTTCACAAGTTGCAGGTCCTGGTTGGACAGCTGGCTCTGGGGAAGCTTGTCTTTCAGGGTGATCCATGGGTGCTGCAGGACTACTCAGCAATAAAAAGGAAGGAGCTGTTGATAGAGCCAGCAACTTCAATGGGTCTCAAAATCATCGTGCTAGGTAGAAAAAGCCAATCCCAAGAGGTAAAATACTGCCAGACTCAGTGGCTCATGCCTGTAATCCTAGCACTTTGGGAGGCCAAGGTAGAAGCATTGATTGAGGTTAGGAGTTCAAGATCAGCCTGAGCAATGTAGCAAGATCTCATCTCTACAAAAAATAGAAAAATTGGCTGGGCATAGTGGGCATGCCTATAGTCCCAGCTACTCCAGAGCCTGAGGCAGGAGGATCACTTGAGCTCAGGAGTTTGAGGTTGCAGTGAGCTATGATCATGCCACTGCCCTCATGACTGGGCAACAAAGTGACATTCTGTGTCCACAAAAAAAAAAAAAAAAAAAAAAGGTTTAATAAATGTACTGTATAATTCTATTTATGTAACATTCTCAAATGATGAAATTTTAGAAGCAGAGACGAGAGGTTAGGGAGAAAGAAGGAAGTAAATGGGTATCAGCATAGTAGAGTTGCTTAGTAGTAACAGTAGTTCCCTAACTTGATTGTGTTGTGGTTGTACAAATCTGTACCTATGATACAAGTTCATAGAACTACACACACACTGAAAAACATGAGTATATACAAACACTGGCAGATCTAAGATCTATTAGTCTGGTTAATTGCCAATTTCCTAGTTTCAACAACACACTGTAGTTATGCCACATGTTATTTGGTGAAGCTGAGTGATAGGAATATGAGATCTCTTTGCATAATTTTTTTTTTTTGAGACAGAGCCTCAAGCTGTCCCCCTGGGTGGAGTGCTGTGGCATCACAGCTCACAGCAACCTCTAACTCCTGGGCTCAAGTGAGTCTCCTGTCTCCGCCTCCCAAGTAGCTGGGACGGGACCACAGGCGCCCACCCCAATGCCTGGCTAATTTTTTTGGTTGCAGCCATCATTGTTGTTTGGCGGGCCCAGGCGGGATTCGAACCCGCCACCTTAGGTGTATGTGGCTGGCGCCTTAGCCACTTGAGCCACAGGCGCCGAGCCTCTTTGCATAATTTTTATAATTTCTTGTGAGTTTATAAATATCTCAAAATGAAAACGTTTCACAAAGAGCCATTAATGGTTATTAACTTAGGAAAATAGGTGTTACTAACTATGTGAATAAGTAATGCTGGTGTGATGTAATTTATATTGCTGATGGCAATAAAAAATACAGAGCAATAGATATTGTGAATCTTAAATGTTGGTAACTGTTGACCTGGTGATCTCCATTTCTGGCCATTTATCCTAAGAAGATAATCCTGCAAAAGGTAAATACTAGAGGTGACATTATTTGCATTAACAAAATATTCACATACAAAACAACCTGAAGTATTGCAAGAGGTGGGGAACTAATGAACCAAATTACAATATATGTACTAACTGTAATATTGTTGAATAGTTACTTATTTTTTTTAAATTCTGGCACTCATAATTACTTTAAATTCTTTGCTGAGCTCTTGTTCTTGTTTCTTTCCAGTTCTGTCCACTTTGCCGTTTAATACCTAACGAGAATCCAAGTACCTTCAATGGCAGTTTAATAAGACATTTGCAAGATAGTCACACTTTGTTTTATGATGATTTCCTAGTAAGTATATTTTCTTATTTTTGTGTTATTTTTCTATGCTGTCTGTGTTACATTTACTTTCTTAATCCAACTGAGAGGGGAAAAAAATGTGTATCTAGCTAAAGTGTTAAGTTAGCCTTAAGTAGGAATCTATGAAAATAAAGGTTCTTTTTTTATAAATTTGACTATTAATATTAAAGTAGTCATCTGCCTTGGAAACAGTTATTTGTGTTCTAGATAGCCATTGTGTAAAGAACCATATTTAACTTTTTTAAAAATTATTTTTAATTTTTACATAGACCCCCTCAAATATATGAGTACAGACAAAAACTGGCAGATCTAAGGTCTGTTAGTCTGGTTAATTGCTTATTTCCCAGTTTAACAACACACTGTAGTTATGTCAGATGTTACCATTTGGGGAAGCTGGGTGATGGGGACATTTGAAAATTTTCTCCATGCCTTCTGAACTGCCCATTGGACATATCTATCTAGATTAGACACAAGGAGCTTGGGTTCTAACCTGGGTTTAAATAATAGCTCTGTCGCAGCTGCCTGAAACTTTAGGGAAGATATTTAACCTTGGAACCTCAGTTTGTTCATGTAAGTGAGGACAGCAAAAGCACCTCATCCCAAAAGCTCTTCTGAGGATTAAATAATGCCTACAGAGTGATTTGTGCAGTTCAGGCTCAGATGTTAGGCCAGTTGGAGATGGGGTGGAAATAAAGTAGGATTATTGTAATTACTTAAGGAATTGAACCAGGTACATGACCATGGCTTTATAATTCTCCACTCTGTCTAATAATGTCTTTTCTGTCCTGTAAGCCACACAGAACTCGAACTTGGTTTTGGTCTGTGGGTTCTCTTTGGTAACACAAAGGGGTTCCTCCTTATCTTAACTCTGTGAGATGTTCTACAAGCAGGTTGAGCCGTGCACAGTGGCTGAAGCCTCTAATTCTAGTACTGTGGGAGGCCGAGGCAGATGAATTGCCTGAGCTCAGGAGTTGGAGACCAGCCTGAACTAGAGTGAGACCTTCTCTCTACTAAAACTAGAAAAACTAGCCAGGCATAAGTGGTGGGCACCTGGAGTCCCAGCTAATCAAACGCTGTGGCAAAAGGATCACTTGAGCCCAGGAGTTTAAGGTCGCTGTGAGACTGTTTGAAAAAACTAAAAGCAGGTTGAGTCCATGCCTGTTCTTGTTACTCTTATTTACTCTATTTCAAGATCATTTGGACACAGTATGATCCAGAGCTGGTCAGGATGAAGCCACTTTGATAAGAACAAATATTCTTAACAGCCACTCAAAACCGTATTCTTGGATATGGAAGTGAGCTTCAAGTAGTGTTCTTTGTTTTATTTTTTTTCTTTCCTGAGCGACCAGATAGTTTATGCACATTATCTCATTTTATTTCTTGCAGCAACTTCTGTGAAGTGAATATTTTTATCCTCGTTAACTGTGAAACATCTGAGGCTCAAAGGTTAACTAATTGCCTAAGAATAAGCCAGTATCAAGTATAACTTGCACTTGTCCACTGTGCAGTCTGGCTTTCCTGTAGATTTTGTTTTTAATGTTTTAGAATGGACTTTGAATGGATATTTCAGTTTTGTTTGTTAATTAGGGAAGAGGAGAGGGATTGCAGAAGGTAAGGCTGTTAATGGCTATTTTATTTATAGAACGTGTTGACTTTGAATTTATTTTGACACCTGGGGTCAGAAGTAAGAGAGTTTTGTTTGCAACAACTTTTTTTTCAGCAATAGACATTCATTAGTACTGCTGGCATTAGGGAATCCTGTGGGAACACCTTAAATTAACTGTATGGTCCATGTTTGTTATCCTCTGACCAAGATATGTAATATTGACTGAAAACTACTAATTATATGAGGTAAAAACTTAAAATTCCAGGCGCAGGGCTCCTGCCTGTATTCCTAGCACTCTGGGAGGCTGAGGTAGGAAGAGCACTTGCACTTAGGAGTTGAGACCAGCTCGTCTACTAAAAATAGAAAAAATTAGTCAGGCACACCAGTAGTCCCAGCAACTTGGGAGGCTGAGACAGGAGGATCACTTGATCTCAGGAGTTTGAGGTTGCAGTGTGGAGGGCTTGTTGCCTGGGCAACAGAGAGAGACTCTTGTTTCAAAACAAGCAAACAAACGAAACAAAAACCTTCAAGGCTGGTCACAGTGGCTCATACCTGCATGCTAGTAATCTGGGAGACTGAGGCAGGTGGATTGCTTGAGCTCAAGAGTTAGAGAGCAGCCTGAGCCAGAGACCCCATCTCTAAAAATAGCTGGACATTGTGGTAGGTGCCTATAGTCCCAGCTACTGGGAGGCTAAAGTAAGAGGATTGCTTGAGGTTGCTATGAGCTATGACACCATGGCACTCTACTGAGGGTGACAAAATGAGATTCTGTCTCAAAAACAAACAAAAAAACCTTCAAATTCCAAATCAAGACTTTTTAACAATTATGACAGTAACTAATTAACCGATGGACAGTAAGGTGAAATAGAATATGTATTAGCCTCAAGGCAAAAGTCCTGGGTTCTATGATAGCCTTTGTGAAACCTTGGACAAGCCACTCCATTCACTTTGGTTTCCTGCAAAAATGAGAGCGTTGCGTTGACCGCCATCCTCCAGTTTCTGAAACACTTTTGACTCTGAATGTTTCTAATTATTTTTCTTTATTGTAGGATTTTAATATAATTGAGGAAGCTCTTATCCGAAGAGTCTTAGACCGATCACTTCTTGAATATGTGAATCACTCGAACACCACATAATTTTATTAAAAGGAAGAGGAAGGGGACCATTCAGTTGCACCATTTAAGATGCTGCTTTAACATGTGTAGGGAGATTATCACTGTTTGATGGACAAAACTGTACAATGCGGTTATATGTTTGTGTATGTTTATTGTTATAGTGCACTTAAAACTGCTTTCATTATGATGGTTTATATTCCTGACTTTCTAAGACATTTAATAACAAAAATTAGTCTGTGTCAGTCAATATATAAAAGAGACACAGGCTACTGCTGTGGGTGGAGGAGCTTGAGCTCTGAGAATTTGATGGTTCTGAGTGTAATGCTGCATATTAATAACTACCATCTTGGTTTAGCCGTGATAACTAATCTTTGCCCTATGTCAGAAAACAGAGAAAAAACCAAAGGACAGACATTCAAGGAACTATGAAATTTATTCCAATGCTCTCATTCTAATCTCTAATATAGGAACATGAGTAATCTTGTATGGGAGCAGGAAAGGAAAATTTTGGAAATCGACAAAGTTCATTTAACCAAATTGTTAAATTGGTTATGCTGTAACAAAATAAATTTTGTGTTAGAAAAGTATACTTAATTCTTTGATGTTTTATAACTATACACATCTATGAATTTAATACTGTATTTTCCAAATGTTTGTAGCTTATTATTTGGAAACATTTTTATAATATAGGCAATTTCTTAAAAACCATCCACTGGCATTTATAGTAGGAATATTCGTATCTATGCTTTTTAGTGGAAAAACCCTAAGAGCTTCGAGTTCTTAAATTTTAAACCTTTAAAAATTACAAAAAAAACCAACAAAGGCTGAAAGCCAGACACAAAATATATAGCCTCATGCATTATTGTAAGGAAACAATCTTTTAGACACTCTGCCAGTTACCCACATGTCCCCTCTGTGGGCTGCCACAATTATAATCCCACAAAAGTAATCACTAGCCTGATTTTGACAGTAATCACTTCCTTGCATTTCTTTATTATTTTATGACAAAAATAAAGATATAAGTGCATATCTTTATATTTTAATATTCATTTTAATGTTTTTTAGATATATATTTTACATTTCTTTTTAATCTGCAAGTTCCCCTTTCTCCCTTCTTTTTCCTTAAAATTTACCCATTGAAAAACCAGCCTGGTCTTAGGGCCTAGAGGTTTGTTGCAGTCTACATTTTGTTGACCGTTCACTCATAATGCAATTGCATGTTCCTCTGCCCTTTGGATATTGGCACGTGGATCCAAAGGTTTGAACACACTCAGGTTCAATGTCTTTGACTAGACTCTAGGTCATGGCCTTATGGTCTGTTCTTTCATCAGAAGGCAAATAATGTCTTGCTCTTCCTTTCTGTGACATTAGATGAAATTGATACCCAACGCCCAAATCTATTCATTCATTATAGGTTGGGGAATATTCTAATGGCATCATTTCTTTTTAATTTGTTTGTTAGAATATTTTTATAAAGAGATACTTCCCACATTTGTTACTTAATTAACCAGTGATAGCGTTCATATACAAGATGGAAAATAAATATTGACCTTTTCTCCTTTATTGCCAGTTTTCAAAATAATAAACTTATTCCCCATCTTCTTCTAGGTATTTTAAAGTACAAGTATTATAAACTTGTGGGCATAAATGTATTTAATGAGCTTCAATCCACTATAAATATTACTTTATCAAAGTTCAAATTGTCTTATTATTGACCATTAAAGCATTGTCATTGGTTCTGAGTCTTTTTTATATCACTTTAGAAGATTTAAATAGCTTGTATAACAAAATATCACAAGCTCAACCTATATGATTTGTGACCCAGACCTGGGATTGGCCCTATCCCTAGCAAGCCTGGTTTCTTTTAGTGAGAAATGGTTTTCTGAAAGCGTAGTCTGAGCTTTAAGGTTACTCATTGCTACTGGGCTGGTCATTTCTAGGAGAGAGATAGGAAATATCTATATGTTTTTGAAGATAAAACACATCACAAGTCTCTTCAATACTGCTAAATAAAATTATTAACAGGGTTTTAACCTAATGTTTCTGTTACAACTATAGCTCTGTTCTTCTATACTGAAAATCCTGGTTTTCAAGGGCATAGGGCATAGTAAAATTAGAATAACCCATAATATTCATGTCCTTTATTTACATTACCCATGTAACTGTCAGAGAAGAATAATATGTGTACAACCACACCAATAGAATAATTGGAACAATTAGAAGTGTTTTCATTTGTCCTTCCTTTTCTCCCTTATTTTTTAAATACCAGTAGTTGTACCATGTCAATGTTTTCAGAACATATTACTGTAACATAGTATACTTTTTCCTTTTTATCCTCACTTAATCTTACTTCTTCAAGTAACTATATATTTAGTGTTTGCCACTAATCTTTGTGTGATGGCTCTGGCTGTTTTGTTTTGTTTTGTTGGTCTGGCTCTTTAATGACGGACCCAGGGTGTAAATTAATATATCTCCATCTTGAAAGGAACCAACAGAGTTATGAAGACAACTCCTTCATGCATGGAGATCAACTCCTGAGGATAAAATGTTACTGGTCTAGAGTTAGCTTTTTCAATTTGTAATCATTTACAAGCTTCTTTGTTCCTCACACATAGGTATAGTGATAACCAGGGTGCCCCAAATTTTCTATGAAAATTATCCATAACATCTTAAAAATCTTGGTTCTGTGCTTCCATCCAGGACAAGACAACTGAAAAGATGTAAAGCTGGGTGAAATCTAGGTGGCCTTATGTTCTGCCTTTTAAATATGGTTTCAGGCTTGCTTTTCACAGTTGCTGACAAGTAGCCACTGATTTTTGGTTTTCCAACTTCTCTTCCTTCAAATTAGAGGAATCATATAATAAAGGAAAACCTGTTGGACAAAAACCAAAAGGAGAGGAATTTTTCAGAAATAATCGTCAGAAAATCTAGTGCCTGAAAAAAAAAAGAATATTATTTCTGAGCATTAGTACTAACAGACAAACCCGTGTTAATTCAGAGCAGGAAAAAAGACATCTTTAAATCCACAGAACTTGAAAAACTTTAAGTGGAGCTTTACGTCATCTACCACTACTAACCTCAGGACAGAAATTCTGAAGCCTATCCCTGGATTCCTCATAGGATGATTTTGCCACCTACAGGACAAATTAGGTGCTGGCCACCTGAATTATTTTGTGTTCTGAATTATTCGGGGTTGTAAAATGCTGAAGTTCAAGTATCGTTTCATTGTGCCTTTAGCCTTGTATAAAAAGGAATTTATAGTTCATTGTTTTATTATAAAAAGTGGAAACCAATATTTGAAGCTGTTGGCTATCAAAAAATTTCACTCATTTTCTTTATAGTGCCTCAAGATATAACCTTTTCAAGGTCTTATGGAGGTGGGGGGAAACTGATTTACATGTAATTATTCCAAATTCTTCTAACCCCACAAAAACCTACAGAGGTTTTCTTTTCATATAATTTTGCACCCAAGTTTCTAAAATGTTGGTTGGAAAAATGGATCCACTGTGAATCTATGGTAGATGAAGTTCTAAGTCAGATCTCCTCAGAGATCCTGTCTCAATTAGGTTGAATTTCATTACTTTTACTAGATGCTAAGTGTCTTTCATTTTGAAGTGAGCTCACTCCAGATAGTGCATGTTGATAGAATAATTTGTACCTTCAAACATTGAAGGTGTTTTTAAAAGTCACTAAGAGATTCTTTTTTCCATTTTTCAACCACAAAAATATCTGTATAATGATCAGAACTTAAAATGTATAATTCTTTTTTTCTGTAAATGTGTATTATTATATGAAATAAAAAATGGCAGGACCATTGCTTTCCTTAAAATATTTACTGTGTCTAGTCTTAAATATTGATCTTCATATTTTTTACACAAACATAATAAGACTTTTAAATTGTTATCATTGAGCAACATTTATCACAAAAATATACATTCATTGTACACCATTAGTTCTCAACTGGGGGTAATTTTGCCTCTAAGCAGACATGGGCAATGTCTAGAGATGTTCTTGGTTGTCATAACCTAGGTAGGTTGTGCAGATGGCCTGGGACCTGGATAGAGGCCTCAGATGCCCCTCAGCCTTCTACAGGGCACAAGATAGTCCCCCACAATAAAGAACTACCCTGACCAAAATATCAGTAGCGCAGAGGTTAGAAACTCTGATTTAGACAAAGTAATACTGAATGTCATGGAATTCTTATTCTGGTAGCAAGAGGCTTTGTTAAAATTTAAAAGGTAAGATGTAGATGGATTCTATATATCTTACTCCCTGCTAAATCCATACTAAGTATTTGAGTTGCTCTAGGTGTCACGGATACCCATGTGTCATGAGCATGTGAATTTTTGGATTTTTCATGTTGAGGGGTACAGGTCAGAACACAGGCATTACAGAACCTTCAATGGCTCTATTTGCAGAGTGACATCCTAAAAGAGGCAACCCAGGGTCTGTTCAGAAGACTTGACTTTATCATGAAGATTATCTTTATTGATATACGTAAGAGAAATATTGCAAAGGGACACCTATGACTGAGATCCTTGAGGCCACAAATATTTATGTTTTGGTATATTATTAGAAAATCATGTGGTGTTTTAATCCTGAAGATTCCAGAGAAGACCACATATGGGTCTTAAGGCTAATCATTGCCCCAGAATAACAATGTAAGAGGCCCAGTGAAAGTGAACCACAGGGAGAGGTATTGGTTAAGATGGATTAGGCTGTGCTGCACCACCCCCAGACCCTAGCACTCACCAAAGTCTACTGTGGGTGCTGACTATTCTCCAGGGCAGCTGTTTATGCACCAGCCTCAGAATTCCTAGGTGCTTTCATCTCATGGAATACATGGCATTTGTATGTCACTGTGTTTCCTACATCACCCTTCATCACAACAACAGCCCAGAGAGCTGATTACACAGGTCATTCTTGCCCACATTTCATTTGCCAATGCAAGTCATGTGGCTATATGTAATGTCAAAGCATTGGGGACATGCAAATTTCTCTTTTCTTTCTTTTTCTTTTCTTTTTTCTTTCTTTCTTTTAACAGAGTTGCACTCTATTGCTCTGGGTAGAGTGCTGTAGTGTCATAGTTCACAGCAACCTCAAACTCTTGGGCTGAAGCAATCCTCTTGCCTCAGCCTCCAGAGTAGCTGGGACTATAAGCGCCTGCCACTATACCCATTAGTGTTTCTATTTTCAGTAGAGGCAGGGGTCCCACTCTTGCTCAGGCTGTTCTCCAACTCCTGAGCTTAAACAATCCACCTATCAGCCTCTCAGAGTGCCAGGATTGCAGGAGTGAGCTGCCATGTCTGGCCAATATTCTCATTTAGAAGAGAACTGGATGTTGGGGTGTTAACAGTAATACCAGTCATGAAGGTACAAGCCAGGCAGAGTTGATGGAGAAGACAGGGAGGTCCACAGGGGAAAGATATTAAAAATATGTGGAAAGAGAGATGAAAAGTCAAAATGAGACTAGCTCTTTAGAAACGAAGTGATATTCCTTTTTGCCATGGTAATTTTTTGGTTAATTTTACTTGAAGTACAGGATCATTTTACCA